TATATATATATATATATATATATATAAAGGGTGGAGTTTATTTGTAGAATTTTGGACAATTAAAATCACTGAATAAACTTTGACTACCATTACTGAATGTTTAGTCTTACAAGATTCTACTCTGAGTAAACTACCGGTAGTTTATGTTCATGAAACTTTGTCTTCTTCATCACTCGGACATTTACAGAGACTGGTGTCAGGAGACGTCTGGACAATCTGAACTAAGTTGTGTGTTATCACATTTCCAGATTGCTGCTCAGATCTGTCGTCAGGCTGGCCTCGTGCAGAAGTCCAAGGATGTGATGGACTACAGTGCTGAGAACTTTGCTATCGTTTTTGCAGCCATGGGGGTAAGCAGTTCAACTTCATCCTACTCCATACATGAAGTTGTTCAAACCCCCCACCCAATTTGCACCGCTAATCCCCTTTCTTAACCCCGATTTGACACCCTGGCTCCTCTCTCCTTCCCTGCTTTCTTTTATTCACTAGGTGATTTAACCTTTAAGCCCCTCTTGTTACTTCTGCACTTGTGAGCATATCCCCGGGCCATGTAGAGGGGTTACTAATTCAACAGGCCTTTTAACACTGACAGCCACGCAGTATCAAGTTCTCTGCCTTTCAGCTGCCCCTTCTGTCTGCTGTAATGCCTCGACCGTGACAACCTGACCTCCTCCAAACACACAGCCACACAAACATTTCCTCCATCCCTCCCCACATCTCACTGGTAACTCTGGTAGGAAAGTGTGAATAGTGATTTGCTCAAATCGGCACACGGATGTGAATTTTTAAAAAGGCCACAGCTTTTGCTGTAACATCGATGCATCTGTTTAGTGATGGTAAACAAGCAGATGGTGCACAAAACATTTATGTTTTCTGCTGTCTTCTTAATTTATTATTAGATACTTGTTCAATTTGACTGTACTTTCTTTAACCGATGTTCGTTTTATGTTTATAGCTGTATAGCTGTTTGAGCATTGAAATAAACCCCATCTGAATCAAAGAGCAAAGTATCATACAATAATAAGACTGAACAATCATGTCACTTGTGAAATTTTACTTTTTCTAAGCAAAACCCCCAAATCTTTCTGTGTTGGTTGCTTTAAATTAAATATATTCTGGGTTTTATTTTTTTACAGCTGTTTACAGATGTGATCCAATGACGGATCCAATCTTTCTTTTAAGCAGGGGTCCCCAACCTCCGTCGGTCCGTGGCCTGGTGGTTGGGGACCATGCGTTAAAGGCATTGTATCATTTAAAAATGAAAAAAGTAACTGTTTTTATTTTATTTATTTATTTACTTCACAATTAAGCCACAGCTTTTACTGATCTACTCAACCTGAGGATTTCAGTGAACCTGCACTGTTCTGATGATAATCCTCATCAAGATGCTTTATGAACTTGTCTTAGGTCAACATGGAAACTGCTCGCTTCTTCAAGTCTGATTTTGAGGAAAATGGCTCCATGGACAACGTCTGCCTCTTCCTGAACCTGGCCAACGATCCAACGTAAGCTCCAGTTGGAATTAACATCGAGCACATGCAGTTTTTTCCCTAATGCTTGAAAATGTATGGTTTTAATTTTGAGTTCCATTTTGCACACATGGGATAAGGTTTACTCTCTAGTTTGTTCCCTTAACTGTCAACAAGAGTAATGTTTTTGTACGTGTACATGTAATGGCTCGTGTTTTACTGTGCGTGTCCAACCAGCATCGAGCGCATCATTACACCCCGCCTGGCACTGACCACTGCAGAGTACCTGGCCTACCAGTGTGAGAAGCATGTCCTGGTCATCCTCACTGACATGAGCTCCTACGCTGAAGCTCTGAGAGAGGTACGGCTCGCTGTAATACACCCACTGTTCACATGCACCTTCTAATCTTTGTAGACTGACGTTCCTGGTTTTGTTTGCCAGCGGTCAGATCTTTAACTGTAGACATTATTCTTCTAAAAGTGTGGTCTCCTGTTGCTTGTGGTTGCATGCCTGTGCTTTAGAAATAATTAGTCAAACATCTTCAGGGTGCCAAGCTGTGCTTCTAGAAATTCCTTTAGCAAGTTTCTTGTTTCTGGCTCTCACAAACCAGTACATATTTACCCCAAATTTGTGGAAAATGTGTGTTTCATTGGTGTAATTTTGGAGACTTACGAATGCCAATCAATTGTTTTCTTATAGAATTAAAGAGATATGATATAGATATGATGCAATAAAAAAGTTACAGTAAGTTATATTTCAGTGCAATGAGATAAAATGTGATTCAATATGGTGTAATATGATACAATAAGGTACAATTTTATGCAATAAAATAACGTACAATGCAGGAAGATATGCAATACAATGCTATACTGTATGTTGCATTAACATACAATATTCTAATATACATTAGATATGTTTCAGAAACAAGCAAACAAAATAATAAAATAAATAAGGGCTTACTTTTATTTACACACATATGTACAGTATGTGTACATTAAAATTTTAGTTGATTTTTCTCAGAAGTTTGCTTTATAGAAGTAAAAAAAAAACTTTCATCCAAAAAGTCTAAAGGAGTGGGAGGAGAAGAGGAAACTGAGAAAAGGAAACGGCAAACGACTGAAATCACATAAAAAAATGAATTCTTGAGGAAACGAAGCCAAATACGGTTAAACATTGACTGTTTGCTGATTTCAATGATGCAATATCGATCTAGGCTCACTGCACACATTACAAACATTTACAGCATTTGAATAAGTTAGAAAGTACATGTTTTCATGAAGTTTGAACACATCCTGTTTGTACTCTGAAGACTGCAGCAGTGTAGAGCAGCATTAATGGACACTGAGCTGTGTTCAGGTGTTCTGCAGGAAGGGAGAAGAACAAAAGTGTCTTAAAGAAAGTATCGTAACTTGATTTCTAAGAAGTGGTCCTGATCCTCCTCCCCCTCACACTCTTACCACTGTCCTTCCTCTTGGTGCTCAGATGTCGGGCCCTCTCGTCTCAGCCCCGTGTGTTCGGGCTGATAATTATTTTATGTTACACAGTTTGCTGCTTCAGTATGTTGGCAGCACATTGAGAGTTTAAATAGTTCACGTGCATTCGTTGATCAAATTGTTCTGGATCAATAAATTGTTGATCAGTAGCTTTTCAAGGATTTTTTTTATTGTCATACCAGCTCACATTTTTGCATGTTTATGGTACAAAATTCGGACTCAGGTCCCAGATCAAGAAGCCTAACAATTAACAAATAAATAAATACAAGAGAGTATAAATATAATAAATAAATAAATCGTAAGATGAGGCGGAATTAAGTGCAGCTTGAGTTCAGCACTGACAGCTACTCTGAATGCCCTCAGCCACCTGCTTGAAGGGAGGGGAGGGGCCTGGAGCAGACTGTGTGCAGGATGAGTGGATTCCTTCATGATGCGGCGCCTCTTCATGACAGAGCTCCAAGACCAGCTCTCTGCAGCTTCCTTTTTTCTCGAACACACAGAGTCCTCCCCATGTTTATCCCGACCGATGGTCACGATCCGCTCAGAATAACTGAAGACCGTTGATCTGGAAAGCTGAGTCCGGCATGTTGTTGTTAAGCCACGTTTCCGTTAGGCAAAGAACAGCACAGTTCTTCATCTCTGTAGTAACACTCATCCTCAGATGTAACAAGATCACAGTCTGGCACAGTGGAAATATTTTTTATTCAAATTGGAGGAGACAAAAATGTAGGTTATTTTTGTCAACAATAGAAGATCAAGCAGTGATCATTTTCTTCATGTTTTTATTTTCAGAACGTCTCCGTGTTAAAAATGACAAATGTTTATTCCCAATCTGTCAGGTCTCTGCTGCCCGAGAGGAAGTGCCCGGCCGTCGAGGCTTTCCTGGCTACATGTACACCGATCTGGCCACCATCTATGAACGTGCCGGCCGAGTGGAGGGTAGAAATGGCTCCATCACCCAAATTCCCATTCTCACTATGCCTAATGACGGTGAGGGCAGCTGCAAAACCAGACAGCAGATTTCTTAGCATCAAGTTATTTATTAATAAGATCACAAAGTCATCAACAGTCTGCCTCAGAGGCCTGTAGCAACATTAGTGATGGTCCGACTCCTGCTCCTGTTCCCAGTAACTTTTACATTACTCATGGATGACATTAAATTTGACTGAGGTGCTTTTCAAAAATGGTAGCATATCTCTCTGTGTTGTTAGTTCTGCTTTGTAACAACATAGTAAATAAATATAATGTTTGAGAAATAAAGGAACTATCAGAATGTATCTGCCGCACAAGTTAAAAACGTTTGTTTTGGATTTGTTGGGATCAGTGTTTTTACATGTCCTGCAGATATCACCCATCCCATCCCTGATCTTACTGGATACATCACAGAGGGTCAGGTCTACGTGGACAGACAGCTGCACAACAGACAGGTATCAGCTTCTCCTAGACCATGTTTGAGAAGAAAATAACTCGTTTTTATTTTCTGCACACACAAAACAAAACATCATTCCCGAGTTCTGTTTTAGTGCACATTAAGGATGGCACTTCAGAGTCCACTTAGGTTGAGAGAACCATCTTAGTGGACAGAAGATCAACATGTGTGACCTGTGCTGAGACAGAAAGACTTCAGCTGCAGTGCAAAAAATGTCTCTCTGTCATTTAGACCTGCTTAATAAAGAGTCCATAGACACCTTCTAGTAATCCCAGTAATTAAAATAGCATATAAACTTCTTCATCTATCTTTGATTCAAAGTTTTATAATGTTTGTCTTCAGAAATAATCCTTTATGTGTAACCATTTTAGTTTCATTTGAAACCCCTCATTGTTTTCTGCCTGCAACCGTAGAAAAAAACATCCCATCATATGCTGGTGAAGATTCTCAGTCATCCAGGATATGATGAATTCAAAAAGCGTTAAATACAAAAACAACTGGACTTTATCCGAGGAGCTTTCTCAATTCAAAGAGCAGAGAGTGAGAGATTCAGGTTATAAGGCTGAGTGAGATAAGACACACACACATATGTAGATTGGCAATTCACACCTAAACAACATTAACAGTAAGAATCTTTTGTTCCTCTAATTCACAGACGAGGCCCCTCTGTTCCCATACGCTTTTTGGATCCTATCATATGATGTTTGGTGTCGTTGTGAAACTTGGGGTTTCCCCCTTTTTAAACGTACATGTAATGTTGGACCATGTAACACTGAAATACCATATGTTTTATATTTTAAGTTGACATTCTTTGTTCTTTTTCCACCATTACTGTACTTGCCGCCGTACACGTCGCATCTATTATGCGTCACCTCTGACAACCCGGAAACGTGGGTCAGTGTTTGCCAAAAATCAATTGGCTGCTAAATGGTGGCCGCAGGAGCGTGCACAGGAGGACTTTGACAATAATTTAACAAGATTACTACTTAAAACAATTATTTGTTTGTTTGAAATTATAATAAAGGTGTATCTCAGTTGAACTTTTCCTTAATAAATGCACTTTGACGGTCAAATCAGCTGCATTTCTCCTGGACGGCACAGTGAAATTCAGCTGATTTGACGTTTTCTCCAGGAGTTCTGGAGTGAGACAAAGTTGGCCTGTATGGCAAGCCAAGTGTCTCATTAATAGCCACTTTTACTTATTAATGGGACACTTGGCTTGCCATATTAGGCGAGGGCCCTCTAGTGGCTGAAAATGGTCGTGTTCAATATTTTCCATGTCAGAATGAATGAAATCGTCAGATCTCAGCCAAAAATTGGTTATAAATATGGGAAAATAACAAATACATTGCTTCACTGTATAAGGCGCACGACTTGCAAATTTATGCAAAAAGGTGTGAGTTATACAGTGAAAAGTACGGTAGTTGGCTCAAATCATCACCACTCCATTACTGTGCTCGCAGTTGGTGTGAGGTGTTGGTGCTCATTTGCTGTTGTTTTGTTTGTTTTTCAAAATAAGACACCATGCAATAAAGCCAAATATCCTCCCTTCAGTCCCATTTGTCCATACAACATTATTCTACAGGTCTTGTGGTTTGTTCAGATGAAACGTTGTAAATCTGCTGCTTTTAGAGAGAATGGGCTTTCTCCTATGGCCCTTCCAAACAAGCCAGACTTGTTCAGTCTTCTCTAAGTGTGTCCTGTTGTGAACTTTAACATTGATTGCCAGTTGAGGTCTGTAAAGTTTTGAGGTGGAGGTGTCACTTTTTATTTTTATTCAGTCATTTCTGCATGGTCTGACCTTGGGGTGAATTTGCTGGGGTGTCCACTCCTGGGAAAATTAGCAGCCGTCCACTTGTGAGCAGTCTTTCTTCCTGTAAATTGATGGACTTCAAAATGTTTGGAGATGACCTTTAATTCTTCCCACACTGATGGGCACACACAGTTGCTTCTCTATGGTCATTACTGATGTCTTCCCACCTCGGCATTGTGCCGATACACATGTATGCTCCAGAGCAGCAAACTGACAAAACTCCTGCTTTTACAGATGAACTCACACTGATGATGATCACTTAATGAAGTGTTAGCAATCAGCTGCTACTCTCCCTCTGAATTCTTCTAGAAACAGCCAAAATGGACTTGGATCACTTACAGCTTTGACATTTTTACTGATAGACTGTAAAATTAATTATCCTCCATCATAAAATAATCTCCTTTTATCTTGTCTTTCAGATCTACCCTCCTATTAATGTGTTGCCCTCGCTGTCACGTCTGATGAAGTCTGCCATTGGTGAAGGGATGACCAGGAAGGACCACGCTGATGTGTCCAACCAGCTGGTAATGAATCTCACCCATAGATAGTGATGTTTAATGAGTAGCTGCCATCATCATCATCAGTAACATGCTTGCCTGTTCGCAGTACGCCTGTTACGCCATCGGTAAGGATGTCCAGGCCATGAAGGCTGTGGTGGGAGAAGAAGCCCTCACCTCTGACGACCTGCTCTACCTGGAGTTCCTGCAGAAGTTTGAGAAGAATTTCATTGCTCAGGGTAAGAGTCAGTTTCAGGTATTGGAAACTTTACGACTCTATTTCATGCGGTCTCTTCATAAATGGATTCTGTTCCTGAGTTTGACTGTAAATACATCAACTTTAGGTTTAAATTTTCCTGGTTGCAGTTGTTCAAATCTAAAAGCTTGTCTTTATTTTTACTAAGAAAAAGTTTCAACCATATATAATGTCACCTGTTTACTCCTACTTCTGAGACAACAACATTTGTTGAAGCTCTTTTACTCCTTCATTCCTCCTTTACTTTACAAATCAGTTTAGATACTCCATCATGTTTCTAGTTGGGTTTATTAATTTTATATCTTTCACAGACAACTCCAGCTGAATGTGAGCTTTATTCGTGCAAAATATCTAAACCCCACAACTGGAAATCTCATTTAATCAGATTAAATAAACTTAAAGCTTGGCTGTTATTTGTTAGTTGCAACAGGGCTTTTTTTTTCACACCAAGTCATTCAAAATAACAACACCAAACAAAAGTTTAGAACTTGAATCAGATCTTTTCTTTTGATTTCAGAGAAGTGATAGAAAAAGTTGTAAAGTTTTCAGTTTGTTGTATTTCTCTAATTCTAAGTTTGTACTTGACTTGAACTTGACTGCCTTGACAATTAAAAACTGTTTTTTAGGGAAAATAAATGAAAAAATATTTTAAGAAATGATTAATATGATCACGAGCCACTTTCACTTCCTAGTAACATGTTCATACTTCAGACATGTAACATGTTACATGTTAATGTTACATGTTACATGTAACATGTTACTTGTGTCTGTTTTAGCAGGTAGTGTTGGAGCAGGAAGATGATATTTATTTAGAATTTACTCAAACTCCACATATTGTTTTTTCCACCGTACACGTTGCACCGCCCTATAAGTTGCATCAGTCCAAATATGTCTCAAAGTGGAAAAACACATAAATAAGTCGCTTCGCCGTATACGTCACATCTATTATGTGTCACTGCTGACAACCCGGAAATGTGGACTGAACCCAGAAATGTGGGACGGTGCTGTGCCAAAAATTGATTGGCTGCTAAATGGTGGCCGCAGGACATGCAAGGAAGGACTTTAACAAGAATATAACAGGATTAACATTTAAAAACAATTATTTGTTTGCTCGAAATTATAGCAAAGCTATGTCTGTTTAACTTTTACTTAATAAATGCACTTTGATGGTGAAATCATCTTCATTTCTCCGGGGCGGTGCAGCAAAATGCAGCTGATTTGACGGTTGCTCAAAGCGAGCTGGATGAAGGTGGCAGGCTGTGGCAAGCCGATTGTGTCATTAATAGACACTTTTGCCTATTACATGACACAACGGCATGCCGTACTACTCTGGTGCCATCTAGCTACTGAAAATGATAGTGTTCAATATTTTCAGTCAGAATGAATGAAAACGGTCATATCTCAACCAAAAATTGGTTTATAAATATGGAAAAATCCATAAATACGTTGCTTCAGCATAAAAGTCGCAGGGCATGCAAATTAGGAATGCGCAATATAAACGGTACACGGTAGAAACGATAGAAATTTTGCCTACGATAGATCTTCTACCGGCTAACTGCAGTAATGCTGTGTCTGAAGTAAAATCAGAGTTGTCAGATTTAATCGTTACTTTTTTTTAGCTGAAAACTGTGCGCAAGTGGCGTTAAAGTCTTTCCTTCGAGGGCTAAGTAGCGAAGCTACAAGCTAACGGCTTGCCGTAGTGTTGCCGTATTCTGACGAATGCGCAAAACGTTGAGTTCCGTCAAAAGTTTTTTTTTTCCCGTCGTAAGTTAAAGTAAGCGTTGGTCATCTTTAGAGAAACCTGCTCTCTGATCTGTGAAAAGAACACTGTGTTGTGTGATTTTACTGTGAGACACTTTGGTCAAAGCCACAGACTCATTTTGTGTCAGCTCTCCTTAAAGCGGAAGGAGTCGCCAACTAGAGGGTTGGAGGGTGAAGTTTCAGCGTGCACTTGCTGCTCTGTTGCTGTTCATTTCTTAAGTGAAGACTGGAAACTGTTAACAACATATTCTTTTGTTTAAAACAAATGGCTAAAACTACATTTGATATCTTTTGCACTGTTTTGCACTACAAGAAAGAAGCCTAATACTTGATTTGTTTATTATTTAAAAACTCTCTGGACCTAGTAGTGACATTTTCTTAATTCAAAATATATGATAGCAAAAGGACACCTTATGCTTTTTTAAATTCCTATTACAAGTTTTATACCAAAAACATATTGCAATATATATCGTTATTGCCACCCTTCACAAATCATATCTTGATATGAATTTTATGCCAGATCACACATTCCTAATGCAAATTATGCAAAAAACGCGACTTATAGGATGAAAACTATGGTACATGATTGGAACTGTTGCATAAAGTGTGTTTCTAATTCAGTACCTTACTTTGGAAAAAAATTGGGAGAAGTGGCGCAGAGGTTAGAGAAGGTGGGCCTGTGATCGGAAGATCGCTGGTTCAACTCCTGGTACCAGCAACATCATAATGAGGGTGGGATAGACGAAGCACCCACACCTGCCTCCACCCTCATTTCCCCCACTCTGGGCCCTTGAGCAAGGCCCTTAACCCCCACCATCTGCTCCCCTGGGCGCCCTAGATAGCAGCTCTCTGCTCCACACAGAGGGCTGTGGTAGCTCGGTGTCTGTGGTTGTGACAGGAAGAACATCTGGTGTAAAAATAGTTGCCAAGTCTTCGTGCGACAGTTCATTGTGGTGACCCCTGAAGAAGAGAGCAGCTGAGAGAGGAAAAAAAAAATTGGAATAAAATTACTTGTATGGGAGTTTAGGTTGGATCAGTTTATTTTTCTTTATTTCTACGTAGAAAGTTTGGGTTTACAAATACGTTGCCTATAAAAAATATTCATCCCCTTAAATGTTTGACCATTTTTTTCTGTTATAAATCAATCACAGTCCATCCATCATCTTTACCCGCTTCTTCATCCTTTTCGGGTCACAGGGGTCACTGGTGCCCATGTCCAGCCATCACCGTGTGAGATGCGGGCGACACCTGGACATGTCTTCAGTCCATCCCAGGGACATATAGAGTCAAACAAGGCAAACAACCATTCACTCTCTCACTCTAGGGACAGTTTAGTTACCAATCAGCCTAACATGCATGTTTTTGGTCTGTGGGAGGAAACTGAAGAAAACCCACTCATGCATGGAGAGAACATGCAAACTCCACCCAGAAAGATCCCTGGTTGGAATTTGAACCAGCAGCCATCTTGCTTAGATGCAACAGCTCTACCAACTGATCCACCGTGTCGCCTCAGTCAGTCAATATAAATAAAATAATAAATATTGGTCTTTTTCTGACCCGGAACTCTCTTCAGTGGTGAAGTGAAGTAAACTTTTACAAAGTAATGCCAATTAAATAAAAAATGTTGTGTGAAAAAGGCCAGTTTGTGCTGACCATGACAGATTTATAACAGCAATAAAAAGATAAAACATCCACGGGGGTGAATACTTTTATAGATGTTGTATTTCTTCCTTCCTGAGTGACTAAACAAAAGCTTAAGGCTGTTTAATCTTTTTGGTTGCATGCAATGTTTTATTTCCTCTTCTCAGCGCCAATGGATTCCACAGGAAAATAACCATCACAGAGAGGCGACAAGGGAAATGGAAAGAAAAATATTTTTGTCTCAATTGCTTCAAAGTAACACCACCCACATATTTTCAGTACAAATACCTTCAAAAGAGAGAAAACTGTGTCCAGAATGAGGAGAACTCTGACCTTTTAGTTATAAAAAAAAAAAAAAAACAATCAGCTGAAGGAATCCAACAATTTCATTTTTGATTGAGTTTAATCTCAGTGGAGCAGAACTTCACAAACATCTGAAGCAGAGTTTTCAGGTTTTAACAAAGGCCAGTTCCGCCAGTCTGTGTGATCTTCATCAGGTTTGGAGCTGCACTCCAGTTATTAGCAATCACTGTTTTTTGTTTAGAAAGTTTTTTTAATTATTAAAAAAGCAAGCAGAATATGAACAAAAGTTTAATTTTGTGCTTTGATCCTTCTGTTTGACCTTCATAATTAAGGCTCAAATAAAACAAGCAGAAAATGCTGCAGTCAAACAACACCTTTGTTTGGATCTCTGAGATCAAACTCAAATCAAACAACTTGTTTTAAGCTAAGTTATTTGTCTACTTTTTAATATAATTTAATAAATTCCAGAACAATATTTGCTTTCAGACAGTTTTTATAATAAAGTTTGACTAAATTTTTAGAAACACTTTTCAGTTTATCACCCATTAGTTTTGTTAAACTTACAAACCGGATTCCAAATAAGTTGGGACACTAAACAAATTGTGAATAAAAACTGAATGCAATGATGTGGAGGTGCCAACATCTAATATTTTATTCAGAATAGAACACAAATCACGGATCAAAAGTTTAAACTGAGAGAATGTATCATTTTAAGGGAAAAATCTGTTGTTTCCAAATTTCATGGTGTCAACAAATCCCAAAAAAGTTGGGACAAGTCCATTTTTACCACTGTGTGGCATCCCCTCTTCTTCTTACAACACTCAACAGACGTCTGGGGACAGAGGAGACCAGTTTCTCAAGTTTAGAAATAGGAATGCTCTCCCATTCATGTCTAATACAGGCCTCTAACTGTTCAATCGTCTTGGGCCTTCTTTGTCGCACCTTCCTCTTTATGATGCGCCAAATGTTCTCTATAGGTGAAAGATCTGGACTGCAGGCTGGCCATTTCAGTACCCGGGTCCTTCTCCTACGTAGCCATGATGTTGTGATTGCTGCAGAATGTGGTCTGGCATTATCGTGTTGAAAAATGCAAGAGAAAAGAGAAAGAGATGACGTCTCGATGGGATCATATGTTGTTCTAGAACCTGAACATAATTCTCTGCATTAATGGTGCCTTTCCAGACATGCAAGCTGCCCATGCCACAAGCGCTCATGCAACCCCATACCATCAGTGATGCAGGCTTCTGAACGGAGCGTTGATAACAACTTGGGCTATCTTTGTCCTCTCTGGTCCGGATGACATGGCGTCCCAGTGTTCCATAAAGAACTTCAAATCGTGACTCATCTGACCACAGAACAGTCTTCCATTTTGCCACACTCCATTTTAAATGACCCCTGGCCCAGTGCAAATGTTTGAGCTTGTGGAGCTTGCTTAGAAATGGCTTCTTCTTTGCACTGTAGAGTTTCAGCTGGCAACGACGGATGGCACGGTGGATTCCTGTTTGAGGTGCAGTGACGTTTAAGGGCCCGGAGATCACGAGCATCCAGTAGAGTTTTACAGCCTTGACCCTTACGCACAGCGATTGTTCCAGATTCTCTGAATCCTTTGATGATGTTATGCACGGTTGATGATGATAACTTAAAAGTCTTTGCTATTTTACGCTGGGTAACACCATTCTGGTATTGCTGCACTGTCTTTCTGCGCAACAATGATGGAATTGATGATCCTCTTACCATCTTGGCTTCTGAGAGACACTGACACTCTGAGAAGCTCTTTTTATACGCAGTCATGTTGTCAGTTGACCTAATTATTGTTAATTGGTCTTCCAGCTGTTAGTTATATGTTCAATTTCCTTTTTCCAGCCACTTATTGCTACTTGTCCCAATTTTTTTGGGATTTGTTGACACTGTGAAATTTTGAATCAACATATTTTACCTTTAAATTGTTACATTTACTCAGATTAAACTTTTGATCTGTCATCTATGTTATATTACGAATAACATATTGACAGTTGCCATCTCCACATCATTGCATTCAGTTTTTATTCACAATTTGTTTAGTGTCCCAACTTTTTTGGAATCCGGTTTGTACTCCATCTTTGTGTTTTTATACAGGTGCTGGTCATAAAATTAGAATATCATGAAAAAGTTTATTTATTTCAGGGTGCATTCACACTAGCCCTGTTTAGTCCGCTTTAATCAAACTCTAGCCCGTTTTCCTGCTGACTTGACAGTTGTCCAAAAGACGACCATTGATGCCTTGCACAAGGACGGCAAGACACAAAAGGTCATTGCTAAAGAAGTTGGCTGTTCACAGAGCTCTGTGTCAAAGCACATTAATAGAGGTGAAGGAAAGGAAACGATGTGGCAGAAAAAAGTGTACAAGCAATAGTGATAACTGCACCTTAGAGAGGATGGTGAAACAAAACCCATTCCAAAATGTGAGGGAGATTCACAAAGAGTGGACTGCAGCTGGAGTTGGCGCTTCAAGAACCACCACGTTCAGACGTATGCAAGACAAGGGGTTCAGCTGTCACATTCCTTGTGTCAAGCCAGTCTTGAACAAGAGGCAGCGTCAGAAGCGTCTCGCCTGGGACTTCTGCTGAGTTGTCCAAAGTTATGTTCTCTGATGAAAGTAAATTTTGCATTTTCTTTGGAAATCAAGGTCCGAGAGTCTGGAGGAAGAGGAGAGGCACAAAATTCATGTTGCTTGAGGTCCAGTGTCAAGTTTCCACAGTCACTGATGGTTTGGGGCCATGTCATCTGCTGGTGTTGGTCCACTGTGTTTTCTGAGGTCCAAGGTCAACACAGCTGTCTACCAGGAAGTTTTAGAGACTTCATGATTCTTGCTGCTGACCAACTTTATGGAGATGCAGATTGCATTTTCCTACAGGACTTGGCATCTGCACACAGTGCCAAAGTTACCATTATCTGGTTTAAGGACCATGTTATCACTGTTCTTAATTGGCTAGCAAACTCACCTGACCTTAACCCCATAGAAAATCTATGGAGTACTGTGAAGAGGAAGATGTGATACACCAGACCCAACAGTTCAGAAGAGCTGAAGGTCACTATCAGAACAACCTGGGCTCTCATAACATCTGAGCAGTGCCACAGACTTGAACTCCATGCCACGCTGCATTGCTGCAGTAATCCGGGCAAAAGAAGCAACAACTAAGTATTGATGCTGTACATGCTCATATTTTTCATGTTCATACTTTTCAGTTGTCCAACATTTCTAAAAATCCTTTTTTTATTGGTCTTAAGTAATGTTCTAATTTTGTGATATACTGAATTTGGGTTTTTTATTTGTTGTCAGTTATAATCATCAGCATTAAGAGAAAAAAAACATTTGAAATATATCAGTCTGTGTGTAATGAATGAATATTAATATACAAGATTCACTTTTTGAATGGAATTATTAAAAATAAATCAACTTTTTCATGATATTCAAATTTTATGACCTGCACCTGTAGATTTGTTAACTTATCTTTGTTATTTAAAATTATTTATTAATTATCTCTTGACTTACCAAACCACGAGGAATAATCTGATTTAATGTAAAGTGTAGTAAACAAACAAACAAACAAAGAAACAAACAAACAAAAGTCCACCAAACTTTTAATTCAGTTCCTTTTCTTTATATTTCCCAATGGCCAGTTCACAACAAAGAAAGTCGGAGCAGAGGGTAAGGACGTCCAATTGTAGCGTTGTTGGACAGGTTTTATCACCTCGCCACGTTTCATGCCAGAGTTTATAGCTGAGATGTCCTAATGGGGATAAAAGATCTAAAATAACATCGTGCCCTGAATGACTCTCAGCTACTACCACACCAAACCTTCACAACATCTGTACAGCTGGGTTATAGCTATTTTTGTTAAATGATGAAGTTCATCTATGGCAGCCATTTCGGGGAACAAAAAACAATCCAGGTATACATCCTGCAGGTTTCATTAAAACTCAACCAGTGGTTTATGAAATATTTTGCTGACAGAATGCTCACGCTGACACATGCAAAACAATGTGCATATTTTAACGACGAGCAAAAATAATAAACTGAATTACAAAAGGCCAATTAAAACAGTTTTCTATTCTAGGAATCAGTGGAATGCAGGAACTTTTCACCTCAGCTTTAATGTGATGTTCTGTCCCCCCCACACCCCCACAGGCCCGTACGACAACAGGACGGTGTATGAAACCCTGGACATCGGCTGGCAGCTGCTGCGAATCTTCCCCAAAGAGATGCTCAAGAGGATTCCTCAGAGCACTCTGGCTGAGTTCTACCCCAGGGAGTCCGCCGCCCGCCACTGAGGCATTCTTACAGATCTTCTGCTTCAAGCCTGCCCCCCCCCCCCCCCCCCCCGCATTGCTGTTTATTTCCTCCTCACCCCACAGCCTTAGACTTCAAGGGAGTGTTAAAGGCAGATGTTCGTCAAGCCTCCACCCATCCCAGACTCCACTTCCTCTTTCTCCTCCTCCTTAGTCGTCTTTATTTCCATGAATCATTGCACCCTGTGGCACCCCCACCTCCCCACCCCCAAACAAGAACAGGGCAAAAATCCCCCCAGTGCGTAGGTGTACCGTAGTGTATCAGTGTTCTGAAGTTGTGGATGAAGTGTCGATGGTTCCATTACCTACTTTTGATCACATATCACAATAATTTTAGATCAGTCTTTATTTATTTGCTTATTACTTCTGATTCTTCTTCTTTTGTTTCTCTCTTTTAATAAATGCTTTGTATCCCCACCCCCCGGTAAGAAGAGGATCAATGTCACCGTATCGCTGTTAGCTGAAGGCGACTTTTTTTAAACCTGTACGCTTATGTTTCTGATCATTGTGCATCAGTTTATTTCAGAAAGCTGCTGTATCGTTCCATCTTTTTCTGATTTTACATTTCAGCAGAACATTTAATAAACGGATGAACTAGGGCCACAAGCAGAGATCAAATTTTACTCTATGTTCCCAAATAACTTTCACTTTTTTGTTGTTCCCTCTCATAAAACATCGTGTTTACATCTTTTGTGTTTTGTTGACAAAGTAAGACTATATAAAAGTATATTAAACATTCCCAGCTGTTTGCAGTAATTATGTTTGTTGTGCAGCCATAATGTTTTGTGAGTGTATGTATCTGTGAATAGATTAAATTATACGGGAAAATGTTTCATCTTGTCTTTATTGTGACCTCTTACAGTTACAAACTTTATTATTTGTCTAAGAACTATATAAGTTAAATGTACAAAGGCAGAAGTCTTGTTTGCTTTCATGAATAAATTAAATCTTTATGATTTTCAGTGTGTAGATGAACATATGCTGCTTATATATTCATAAATTAAACGGATTCTTTCATTTTTCTGGACTGTATAATGTACGTGCATTGAATTTAATAAAATGTGGACGGAAACGTGTTTATCTTTGACTCACCAACGACAGTGGGTCATTTATTTAAAAACGATTTAAACACATCACACATTTACATTAATTTGGCAAAATGATTTCAATAACAACATAATTAATCAGCTTTACAACCAGGAAAACCATACGGCCATGATTTTCCGTTGCTTCACCACAGACATTTCTGAAAAATATCTGGATTAATTTGCTAGCAGATAGAAGAGTTTAAAGATGGAAAATGAAGTTTATCTTGAGAGAGATGGGTGAGGGAATTTGTCTGTTTTAACCAGAACAGCACGCTCCTTTGGACCAGCTTAACCCAACGGTACGCTTTGGGTTGAAGATCGACTTTTTACCTTTCTGAAGATATGTCAGTTCCGGCGTAAAGTTCCACTTCAAGCCTCTTTTCAGCGTCTCCGTAAGGATAGTAGGGAACCGTTCGGAGTCGTGAGATCATCCAGAACAGACTTCATAATTCCTCTGAACTTCTCTCGTCCAGCTTAGTCGCAGATGTCCTGAGCATTCTGGACTCTGCTGCTCTCGGAACCAACTCACAGCATTCTCTCAGCGTTCTCCTCAGCGTTCTTCCCAGAACTGCCGAGAACTTCTCAGAACTACTGAGCTCTCCAGAACTTCGACTGGAGCTGGAAACCTCTTGCAGAACTTCTGTGAACTAGGAAGTGTTGCACCTTTTAAAAAAGCTCACTTCCGGTTCATTTGAGAACTTTCTGATTGGTCGATGGACCAAAACAGAGGTGTGTTTTGTGATGTAAGAGGTTATTGAAAGTCAAGGAAAAAGATTAAGATTGTTTAAGAACAGACAGAAGATATTATGAAGAACTCAGACTTCGTGGAGTCAATTCTCTAGTATCTTGCTATAAAAGTTAAACATGACATTTCTTTTTCAGTAAACTTGCAGTTGACCGAAACTTGAACTTTGACCAACTTCCACAACTTGCTCATTTCAAACAGACGATCAAGAAATTGAATCATTACTCTGTAACATATTCCAACTTGATTTCCACTTGAATGAGGATTAAAAATCGTTATTACTGTTTCACAGTTGATTTAAAAATGAGTAGTTCACTTCAACATTTAAAATGGTTTGAACTAATACAATTTGATTATCAAACATTTGTAAAATAGTAATGATAATCGAAGGTAGTGTTCTTTCACTTGATTAATTCAAGAAAGAAAGTCTCAGGATGGGTCAACCTGTATTTCTGGATTCAAATCAATGAAATGACAGTTTCTGTCCCATAAGGTCCTTAAGGTCAGGATTTGACCTCAGGCCTAGTTCACTACAAGTGGATCTTTCCATTTGGGGAGAATGTGTTCCAGTTTAAAACGAGTATTTACGTCATGGCAGCTGCTCAGCTGACGTAAAAATAAACGGTCCATTGATTTAGACGTCCATAAAAATTATTTAAAGACAAGACAACACTGAGTCAATGTTCCCTCAGAAGGAATACTTTATTATAAATTATATATATAAATACTTTATTTCTTACACACCATGAACCAGAACATTAAACTCAGTAAAAAGAAAAATGATCTCTGGTCCAAGAGCCGGGGCACCATCTTCACCCCCGTTATTTGTCTTGTTCTTATAATCTGTAATTTAAATGGATTTTCGATTTGATCACTAAGGATGGGTCTATACAACATACTTCAGTCTAATGAAGTTAAAAGAAAAAAACAAATGCAATTCTAAAAAAATAAGAAAATGTGATGTGTGCGTATGTTTTCAGCCCCTCTGAAGCCTCAGCCGTTACATTCAGAAGCCACAGAATGAGTTCATTAGGATCCACCTGTGAGAGGTTTCAGTACAGTACACACCTGGAATCAACACAACACCTCTAAGTAGTTCAGGCAATCACTGAGCCAGAGACAGCATGAAGACCAAGGAAGTGCACAGGTTAGAGGCAGATCATGCTGAACAGTGAAGCACTAAGGCTGGATGGACCAAGTTCATGGAGACGTAACTGAAAAGACATGCTGGTGTAGCTCATGTTAGGTGGGAAATAAATGCATATGACAGCACCACTTCTCAGTTTTATATTTTTTACATTCATTATTTTTTACCTCATTTAACTCTATAAATCTGCAGTAAAAAGTTATAAATGTTGTCTTTGGTGCCTGTTTGTTTTTATTTTTTTAATATATTAGTGTGTGTGAATGACAGGCATCAACTTAAAACACTTTGTAGAACGGTGCTTTATAAAGTTCAGTCCATTTCTTTGTATTAAATGACCAGCAGTTCAGCCACATTTAAAATGGCAGCAACGTCGCCGTACGATTCAGCATTCAATGGGGCATCTACGTATGTATGTCTATGGGTATGAGTATAGAAGCTTAAAAGCAAGAAATCAGCAGCCCAAATAAAGTGACATCACCAATTAAAGTGGCATTACAGTGATATTTACACAGTGATTGTTCTGGTTAGAGATTCATGAGTCTAACAGCCTCAGGGTAGAAGCTGTTCCTCAGTCTAGTGGTTCTAATGCTCTTCAACCTCCTTCCTGAGGGGAGCAGGGCAAAAAGTGTGTGTGCCGGGTGAGTGGGGTCATCATTGTTTGTGATGCATCCCACCACCGCTGTATCATCTGCAAAACTTTACAAAATGACAGCCTGGATGGGTACGTGCACAGTCATATGTGAGCAGAGTGAACAGGAGAGGACTCGGCACACAGCCCTGAGGGGAGCCAGTGCTGAGGGTTATGGTGGAGGAGAAGAAGTTGTGGATCCTCACAAACCGGGCCAGTTGGTTAAGAAATCTAGGACCCAGTTGCATAGGGAGGGGCTAGTGTGACTAGTTGTACCTCAGATAATATACCTCAAAAATTATGAAAATATATTAAAACATTTTATTTGTTCAAGCAAACAGAACTAGTACTTGGACAGAACTAGGACTCTGCAGGAAGATCTCAACACCTGAGTCGCTGCTGTGAGAGAAGAACAAACTGGTCTGTTCATTTCATACAGAATCTCCCAGTGAGCTCAGACTGAACCATCTATTGGTGCTGCTGTCCAAAATGAACAGTCTGAAGAAAACTACAAAAACTGCAAAGTTGTACAAACTATAAATCAGTTTTTGATTATTTTGCAGTTTTTTTTTTAATGAAAATCTTGTAAAATCCTAAGAAAAAAAGAATTGAATGTATTTCTTGTTCCTGTGTAGTCTGGGCCTTTTATTGCAGCGTTGTGTTGAACTGCAGAGCCTCCCCTCCTTATCTACGCCTGTTTACCTGAGGCAGGTGTGTCACAGACAGGACTCCAATTCTTGACCGTTGAACTTTGGAGGGAAAGCTGTTCTCGCCATGGCTGCAGAGGAGCTGGATAAAATGAGTGTCTTTACAGAGCTGTCAAACCAAGGTAAGTCTAAAAGCAGCTTCTTCCGTCTCTTCCTACTTTCAGCTTTTCTCAGAGCAGACGGCTGTTTGCTGCTGCGCTCCGCCTTGCTGAAGTATGCCAAGAAAGAATGTTGCAAGCAGCAGCGTTGTTAGAAACACGTCACCCTGTAGACAAACTAAAAGTTTATAAAGCAGAAGTGTAAAGTTCACTTAGAGTTAAAACTGATCAGAAAATGTACTTTATGTGTGAGGGTAAATGTTGACAGTTATAGAGCTAATTACTGATCCAAGACGTTTCCATGAAGACTGAGCTTGTTATACGGCTCCTGTGAGGTGACGTAGAGTCAGCGGGGGATTAAACATTAAAAAGGTTGGACAGAACCTGCTCTCTGTTTGAACATTTCTTCTGTCTTGGTTTGGTCTTTAACTTTAAAGGGACATTCTGATCATTTAGAAGTGGGCTCTGTGATGAAAGTGTCAAAGAATTAGTATCTTACCTGTTGTAGATGGTGTAGATCAGTGGTTCTCACACTGTTGGTAACTAGTACCACCTCAAAAAATACTATCCACTCCATGTTCCACCTGTGACCAACATTAAACATTAATATTAACTGCTGGTATCATTTTTATTCATATCGGACATGAATGAGCAAAGTGATAGTTTTGTTAATTTATTGCTATCCATCCATCCATCCATCATGTTCCGCTTGTTCCCAAGTCAGGTCTCGGTGGCAGCAGATTGAGCAGGAAGGCCCAGGCATATCTTTCCCCAGCCACCTCTTCCAGCTCTTCTGGGAGGACCCCATGGCGTTCCCAGGCCAATCGAGAGACATAGTCTCTCTAGCGTGTCCTGAGTCTTCCCTGTGGTCTCTTCCCAGTGGGACATGCTCAGAGTGCCCAGGAAGCATCCTTACCATAGGTGAGGGTAGGACCGTAGACTGACCAGTAAACAGAGAGCTTTGCCTTACAGCTCAGCTCTCTCTTCACCACAACAGACCGGAATACTACAGACACTGCACTAGTCTGTCAGTCAACCCCCCCCCCCCCCCCCCATTTCTTCCCTCACTCGTGAACAAAACACCAAAACACTTGAACTCCTCCAGAACAGCACTACAGGCACAAACATTTTGTTTTTTGTCTCTAACCACAACTGAATGCAACTTGGGGTAACTTGAATCAATTTTCAAATCACACTGTTTTGGACCTTTTTTTGCTAGAATGTCCTAATATCTGTTCCTGGTAAAGGAACCACTAACACATCAGTTAACCTCTGTCCACCACTGTTTCCAAAGAGCTGCTCAATGTTTTCTTCATCACATTTGTATTTGAATTAGTTTTAATTGTATTTTGTGGCGCAGCACGGTGCATGTTCTCTCCGTGCATGCGTGGGTTTTCTCCGGGTGCTCCGGTTTCCTCCCACAGACCAAAAACATGCATGTTAGGCTGATTGGTAACTCTAAATTGTCCTTAGGTGTGAGTGAGAAAGTGAATGGTTGTTTGTCTCGTTTGTCTCTATGTGGCCCTGTGATGGACTTGCGACCCATCCAGGGTGTACCCCGCCCCTCGCACAGTGATTGCTGGACATGGGCACCGGCAACCCCCGTGACCCAAAATGGAATAAATGGGTAAAGATAATGGATGGATGAAGTTTTTAGGGGTTTGAAGTCCGCCCACTGCTGTTGTGCCTCTGAGCTGCCTGTTGAGGTGAAAACAGAGCCCTAACAGTCAAAATGTGAAAAGCCAATAAGCACATTAAGCATGTAGAGCAGTGATGACATACAATGTGTGAATACTGCAGAATTAAAAGATGGAACAACTGCTCCATAAACAAAAAGACTTATGATGATGCACAGCAACTGTGCATTTAGTTTAAAAAATGGTTGACCATAAGAAGAGCTGCTAAAAAACCTACGTTATTATTTGTGTTTTGAAAATGATGTGAGGTGTACATCTGTCGCACATTTGATGTGTTGAGCTCGTTTCAGCATGACTGAGTTCTGTTGGTTTCACAAAGCTCATTTCTGAAAGTGCACGTCTATGCAGGATGTGGTCTGCTCAGTGATTAATGAACATTCCGACTGTTTAAAGAAAGAAGGTCTTTGTGGTCATTCTGTGGAAATTGTTTTGTGGAAGTGCCTAATAGGGCCATATGATGTCAGAAGTGGGTGGATTTTATTGTAGGATATTCCTCAACAGATTATTTGACTCAGTTGTTATGACTAAAGGCAAGTGAAAAATGGATGGATTTTAACTACTTGACCTTCATGTTTTTGGTGGACATGACAGACTCTTTACAAAGTGATAAATCTGTCAAAACTAAAGTCTACCCATGCTTTATTCTTGCTCGACTAGAGGCTGTTGAGAAAGACTGTTCTTTTACACACAACCCTGTGGTCAACCTGAATGACGTCATTACACCGGCAGAGTCCAGAAGACCTCGACTGCCTGAAGAAGGACATTAAAGATGTTAGGCAACCCTGAAACCTGACTGTAAAAAAGATATAACTTCAATATCAGGTAGCAAAACCCAGAGGCATTCATTAGGAAACCAAACTGAAACATTTAACTTTGGTGCACTACAAGATTCATTCATTCATTCATTCATTCATTCATTCATTCAACCTTTATTTAAACAGATAAGTCACATTGAGCCTTGAAGACTCATTTACAAGTGAGACCTGTTTGGACAGACAATAAAAAGTGGTGAAAAATGACACATAGGGTTTGGAGACAAAAAAATCCTAACACACTTTTAACCTCTGTTTGAAGGTCAACAGTGTGATAATGAAAAAAGTCTTGCACACGAGCACATAATGATGCCGACATTATGCGTGCAGGGGGGGTTGGAGACACAAGGGCGGTGAGCAGCCAGAGACAATACACAGAGGCACTGCAAAGTTCAGATAAAATCACTCAGTTCATATAGTTCCCTCAGGTGAGCTCCGAGCACACTCCGAGGACGTGCCGAGGACGACCAGAGACGAATCCATTGTCCTGAAATGATGACAGAATGTTTCTTCAGCTGGGCTCCTCTGAAAAATCCATGGAAATTCCTCAGTAGTAGGAGAGGGAGGGGTTAGAGCATCAAGTTTACAAAACCTCCAGGCGGGTTGAGATAAGATGGCCTGTCGAGGCCAGTCAGGGAGCCAAATTCAGATAAACATGATTGTTTTGGGGGCAGGCAGAACTTTAATGACATCTACCTTGAGTCTGTGTCGGTCCACTCGGATTCGAAACGTCCACATTAAATGACCATACCAATGGAACATGCCTGAGAATAATCCCTGAGATCTGATCCATTCTGCCAAGAGTCTGGGTGCTCGAGGCACAAATCAAGCCATCATGTAAGGCAGGTAGCCTGACCAGGTCCAGATTTGCTGCCGACGACTTCCTTGTTTGTTGATAAACCAGCGACCAGCCGAATCCAAAAAGCAAGAACCAGTTATCATAAATCCAATTATAAATGTGTCCTTAAAATCCACAGATGACAACAGAGATAGACACGTCACCAAGTCTTCAAAGTCGATGAGATATCCAGCTGCGTGCGTGCCAACAGGACAAATCGGCTCGCTTAGAGTCTGTCTTCTCTTCAAAGAAATGTTATCAATTGTTGACTTTGTTGGTTTTGAACCAGTTTGACATGACTGCCGATGAGGAAGAGGGCCGGCACCGGAGGAGGGGGCGTGCCAAAGAGACCATCTTAGCACCAACATAACTGGTTTGTTCCACTTTTGAGTAAGCTGTTGGGGGAAGAATCAGTTTTGTGCTGCGCGATTGCTTGACTGATGAAGCCTTCTTGATGGAAGGTGAAACGTTTCCGCACAACAACAACAACAACAACAAAAAAAGAAACTGTCCAGATGACCTGACTGAAAATTGTTGGGTTATCAATTGTGTTGAGGGACCAACTGACCAAATCCAAGTCCATAGTTATGATTCAGAAGATTTGTAGAAGAGAGTCTCTAAAGCAGTTTCACAGACAGGACAGAGCAAAAACTAAGCAGAGAGGAAGAGGAGGAGACGTCCGCCTTTGAGAAGAGCAAGTGTTGAATTAAAAGATGACCTTATAATATCTAACAAAGTTAATTCAGGTCCTCTGGGTGGTTTCTTTTTGTTGAAACGTTTTGTCTTTCATCCGAAAGACTTCATCAGTCCGAGGAGCCGAATTCAAACTCGGTCTTATATAAATTATATCAGTCACCTACACATAGTAGATCAAACAGTTTGATGATGGTAGTTCCTGTAGTCTGCCCTCTCCTCTGCCACCTGCCCAAACTCAAACTGGTTTGAGGCAATCATGGCCAAAGTGGTTCAAAATGTCCTGATTCACGCTCAATAATCCAGGTAGAAACATTTACATTTTTTTCCTGGATTACTGAGCTTGAATCAGGACACAGGGACATAATAGATTGCAGAGTTAACAGGGACAGTTTTGGAAACACTTTGCTAAGAGACGATAAGTAAACACTTGCTGAAGTTGTGTGCATTTGTCCAATAATTGAGCTCTGAGAGTAACGAGGCAAATCTGTTTTCATATAAACATATCAACCTGTCAGTGTTGGATGATGTGCACCTGAACATGGCAGCAGAGCCAAAGGCAAGCAAAGGACACAGACGTCTACACCTGTGGTCTACATAATGTAAGCAACGTCAGTGAAGAACTGCAGAAACTAGAAACATGTTCAAACAGTGAATCGAGCAGACTGGTGATCCGGGTCTGGCCCATGAAGACAACAGATTTGACCTTGAAGGTCTGTCCTTAGATAAGAGCAGTGATGAGAAACTTGTGCACAACAATCATTCATATTACAAAATCAAGTTTATTGCATGTTGAGAACAAGCAACAAATCTTTAGAGCTAAAATTAAATCAGAAGCTTCTCAACACAAACAATATGTTTACATTTTGACTGCTAAGTCTGAGCTGTAGAGCTGGTTCCTCACTCAGCAAAATATATTTGTAGTCTATGAGTGTTTTATTTTTTGTAAAATGGTTTCAAGATTAAATTATTATTAATATTAAGTAACGGGCTGTTAGGTCCCTGTACGACCAGTGTCAGAGCTTGGTCCGCATTGCCGACAGTAAGTCGGGCTCGTTCCCAGTGAGAGTTGGACTCCGCCAAGGTTGTCCTTTGTTACTGATTCTGTTCATAACTTTTATGGACAGAATTTCTAGGCGCAGTCGAGGTGTTGAGGGGATCCATTTTGGTGGCCTTAGGATCGCTTCTCTGTTTTTTTTTACAGATGATGTGGTTCTGTTGGCTTCATCAGGTCGTGATCTACAGCTTTCACTGGAGCGGTTTGCAGCTGAGTGTGACGCGGCCGGGATGAGGATCAGTTCCTCTAAATCTGAGGCCATGGACTTGAGCCAGAAAAGGGTAGAGTGCCCTCTCCGGGTCAGGGAGGAGGTCCTGCCCCAAGTATCAAGTTCAAGTATCTTGGGGTCTTGTTCATGAATCAGGGAAAAATGGAGCGAGAGATTGATAGGCGGATAGGTGCAACGTCTGCAGTGAAGCGGGCGCTGTACTGGTCTGTCGTGGTGAAGAGAGAGCTGAGTCAAAAGGCGAAGCTTTCAATTTACCGGTTGATCTACGTTCCCACCCTCGAGGGGAATCTCAAGGCATTCCAAGGCCAGCCGAGAAACATAGTCCCTACAGCGTGTCCTGGGTCTTCCTCTGGGTCTCCTCCCGGTGGGACGTGTCCGGAACACCTCGCCAGGGAGGCGTCCAGGAGGCATCCTAACCAGATGCCCGAGCCACCTCAACTGGTTCCTCTCGATGTGGAGAAACAGCGGCTCTACTCTGAGTCCCTCCGAATGAACGAGCTTCTCACCCTATCCGAGTCCAGACACCCTGCGGAGAAAACTAATTTCGGCCGCTTGTAACTGTGATATCGTTCTTTCGGTCACAACCCAAAGCTCATGACCATAGATGAGGAGCTGGACCAAGTGGCTTGAGAGAGGGAAGTCTGGGCCTCCCTACTTATGCTGCTACCCCCACAACCTCACTCTGGATAAGCGGAAGAGAATGGATGGATGGATGGATGGTTTCAACATTGTACAATCTACTGGTACAAAAAGGTTATGACTCCATTGTTAATAAAGCTATGGGTTTTTGTAAGTTTTTCCACAGCTGTAAAGAAAGTTTTGTAAAAACTGTGACAAATACAGAAGATTAACAGCTGAAAGGTAATACAGGTGCTTCAGTGATGATACTTCCACCATCAATAAGAAAAGACAAAGCAGGACTTTTAATTTGTGAAATAAATCATCACTTTTCAACACAAATTATCATTTAACTAATACTTTAGTTAAAATGCATATTTAATTGGATGTATGTTAGCCCTTTAACAATTTCTTAAAACTTAAATAAATACATGTTTTAATGGTTTATGGCACGACTATTCAATAAAACTGCTCAGGGGGCCACAGTTTCTGAAAGCCAGCAGCTCAGGGGCCGGACATCCAGCGATTAAAGTCATTATATAAATAAACCAAGTATTTCAATGATCTGTTACCTTTTAAATTTGTTTTATTGCATTAAATCATAAATGCAATAAACAGAACCCAAAACTCAAACCTAGAACCCCCCCACCCCCAATTTATTTATTTATTTTTTTGTTATGAAGTCACTGGTGGGCCAGATTGAAGTCACCTGCGGATCAGAAATGGCCCGCTGGCCACCAGTTGAATAACCCTATAGTCAATGGTTTAAAGAAACGGTTTACCTGGTGGTCTACTTAATGTTTTGCTTTGTAGATGTTGATCCTGTATAATTTAAGAATTGATCTGAATATTCAATTATAGGACAGTTTTTCTGCTTTTTGATTTCATCCATCCATCCATTATCTTTACCCGTTTATTCCATTTTGGGTCACGGGGGTCACTGGTGCCCATGTCCAGCAATCACTGTGCAAGGGGCGGGGTACACCCTGGACGGGTCGCAAGTCCATCACAGAGACACATAGAGACAAACGAGACAAACAACCATTCACTCTCTCACTCACACCTAGGGACAATTTAGAGTTACCAATCAGCCTAACATGCATGTTTTTGGTCTGTGGGAGGAAACCGGAGCACCCGGAGAAAACCCACACATGCACGGAGAGAACATGCAAACTCCACCCAGAAAGGCCCCTGGACCGGGGTTTGAACCAGGGACCTGCTCGCTGAGAGGCAGTGCTTTTTGATTTGTTGGGGTTTATTTGACTTTTACAGGTCAGCAAAGTATGAAAATAGAAAACATCCTGGTTTCCTTAAAATGCACATCCAAAATTCACCCCAACAAATATTTTTACAACGTGTGCTTGATGGAGATCAGAAACGTTACCAAAGAAAGCCGTTTTGTTTCAGCACAGGACAGAAAGAGACTCAGAGTGTTCTAGAGTGACACCAGCATGACTGGTGAGAAGTTGTCACATGCTGCACGACTTTCCATTCAATCTTTTTTTAAAACAACATGTGAGCACTTTGTTCTTCACTGACATTTGTGCTAAAGATGGCTTACTGGCATCCTTTGCTCCCCACAGCCGTGCAGGAGTATGAAGAGCTGCAGAACAAGAACAAGACAGCAGCCATGATGGTAAGTGCTGACTCCATTAAGAAATTAACCATTTGTAGTTTGTTTACTCTTCAGGTTAACTTTTAATAAGAATTAAAACAGTAGTGAGCCATACAAACAAATGTTTTATTCTATGGTCAGGTCTGGTTTGTAATGTTGACACTATTTCATAACCAGGTCCCAGTTTAATGTAAATGTTGAACTGAGGCCACGAGTTTACAGAATATTAATCAACTCCAATCCAATTTATTTGTAAAGCACATTTAAAAATGACTGATGTTGGTGCTGCACATAAAACAATAAACAGTACAAACACAATGACAAACAACAACAACAATAATAACAAACAAAAATAAAACAGTTAATGTGAAAAGCCAAAACAAGGCCATTAAAAAATGCAAAGATGTGGAGTGTCCTGCATTAAAACCAGATGTGTTTTAAGATGAGATTTAAAACAGCAAGAGTTGAGGTCGGTCTCATATGAAGGGGCAGCTGGTTTCACAGTTTAGGAGCTACAGATGAAAAGATCACCTCTGTGGATCAGCCTGGACCTCAGAACAGATAAAAGCAAATGATCTTTAGATCCAGGGGATCAGGAGGGTCCATAAGGCTGCAGCAGGAGTCTGTCCATTCAGGGTCATAGGTCATCAATGAAACTTTAAATCAATTCTAAAATGAACAGGGAGCCAGCAAATGTTTTCATGTGTCTTTGTTTGTGTTAAAAGACAAGAAGCAACGTTCTGAACAACCTGTAGTCATGAGATGCCAACACACACACACACACACACCCACACACACACACACACACACACACACACACACACACACACACACACACACACACACATACACAGAGTTACAGTAATCCAAAATATTAATACAGTAGTTCCTCGTTAATCGTGGGTGATCTGTACCCTGAACACCAGCGATTAGTGAAAAACTGCAAAGTAGGAATAGTAGTACATGTAGTAAGGATTAGTTTATTTTAGTATTTATAACTATATATTAAAGCATTTTAAACCCTTCGCACATACTTGAAATATTCTAAACAATGTTTCTAAACTCTAAACGCTCTAGGAGGATGAGGTGCGTCACCTGTTTTATGTCCTGTTTAAGACCCAGTCTACGTTTCTCTGGATATTATCTGAAACACGTTCTTTTCTCAGTTAATTTTTTTATCTACATCATCCATGCTTTTTTTTTTTACCTGCTTGTTCTCTGGATCTCAGAGAACTGGGGCCCGTCTGAAGAAAACCCACACATGTATGAGGAGAAAGGCTGGAGGTCAAACCTGCAACCTTCTTGTTGCTACAGCTTGAAGCAGCAGCTCGTTGTGCAGCTCTGCTTCTCTAACAAAAATATAAAAAATAAAATTAAAAAATCCTGCCATGCCACTAGAATGTCCAAATTACCTAAAAATCAAAAGTCCCAGAAAGAACATTATTAGCTTGGTTAAACAATCTCCCTAATCTTGTTTCTGTCCTTTGATAATGTTTCGTTTCTTCTCTGTTATTTCAGCACACAATCAGTTAAACAGCAGCAGGATCAGAATAGAGTGACACAAACAGAGGAATTGTGGGCAAGCACAAAACAGGCAGCGATGTCTTTTTATCTGAAAAACTGCATCTACACAGGCCCGCTACAAACAAACTTAAAAATATCCACCATGGAAAGTCTTTAAAAGTCTATTTTTCTAACTTAAAAGTTAGTTTGTGTGTGGACTGAAGGTGCAAATGCTGCAGAAAATGAGCGTTGTCCAAAATATGTGGAGTGTCAGGCGTTAATGTGTCGTCGCTTCAACAGGCCGTCCGTACACCTCATCAACAAATGATAAGAAAGATGGTGCGATGCAACAACAGTTCACTGCAGTGTCTGTGCAGGGTTCAAGAAAAGAAAACTCAGATGAATCCACTTTCCTTCATCCAGTTCTCAGCAGAGTTATTATAAATGTACTCGGACTGAAGCTGGTTTTGAACAAACACAAGTAAAAACGACTCGTCCTGCATATCATGGCTCCAGCTGCTACACACAGATGTTCTTTTGGATTTCTCTTCTTGCTCCTGTTGCAGACAATCTAAATGTTTATTTAGATAATCCTCTGTTTTCTCGTTCAAAGTGCAAGAGGCTGGAGGAGGAGCGAGACGAGGCCATGAAGAAACTCACTGAGTTCCAGCAGGGTGAGTAGATTTCTGTCTAGGATGGGATTCATAGTGTCTGACTTTAACTCTTAGTGTTTGTCCCAGTTTAAAGTTTTAAAATCTATAAATAAAATGGATAAATCCTGAGAAATGACAGCATGTGTTAAAATTGAAGTTTTTATTTTATTTGTTAAAGAAAAATTGAACGAAAGACTTATTTGCTGGAAACTTTGTATTTGTTGGTGTCGTCCTTCATCTGGCCTGGATCTGCCGTGAGCTACGAGATCATTTGTTCCTCCTTTTTGTTGATCTCATTTTTCTACTAAAGTTAACCATATTTTTCCTGTTATTTGGTTTAAATTAACATTAAAAACAAATACTCAAAAAAACAAACAAAAAAAGACCATTTATTACGCACCTAGGCTGTGTATAATAAGCTCTTAAAGGTTCAAACAATCATATGTATAATATATAAGATATAAAAATGTCTCCATATGTACATGTCACTTTATTTAATGCACCCTCACCCAGTGAGATAAATATCAGAATGCTGTTAAATAATTATCACTATCATTTTGAAGTGGTAAAATTTGATGTCAATGACTTGCAGGATGTATATGTTTATAAAAAACTTCTACCTCGCCCTACTCTTCCACCCATGAGGAAGAGTAGGGCGAGGTAACAAATTATAACAACACGTGTTTGTCAGTTTCCAGCAAACCCTTGAAAACTTCAACCATCCTTCAACACAGCACCGTCGTTCCACCGGTGGTGGTGCCGCTGCAGCCTCTGCTTGAAAATGAGTCTGTTTCCCAGTCGTGCAAATACATTTCAAATGTTGTGGTCCACCATTCAATTTTCCAAAACGATTTTCCTTACAGGCTGAATGCTTTGATATGACCACTTTAGTGAAGACAGAATCTGAAATAGGGCACCACATGTCAAAAGATGGAGCAAATAGTTTGTCTTTGTAATGGTGACAGTTGTGTGGATTTTCATCTGAATAAATCTGGCATGTGACCGTGTATTCAATGATTCTCCAGCCAAAACACATATTGTGTTTGACTTACACATTAATAGAGGCTGCCTCACTGTGCCAAGCAGCTGCATATTAGGACCTATTACGTGATTTCATAGCTCTTAGAAAATTGCTCCTATTCAACATGAATCGGCCGGGGGCGGGGCGGCCGGGTTGGTGGGGGGAGGTGGCAGTGGGAGGACAGGAGAAAAAGCCCCCAACACACAATCATGCCTTTTCAACCAGAGATGGCAAGGTTGATGACAACATGACCATTGTGTTATAATGATAACACCACAAAGGCATCTGCCCCCCTCATCAAGGCTTTACAGAGGCTGCACATACAATTTAATTCACTGCTCTGTTGGCGGCGCTGATACCATTATGCAGCACGTCGGCACAGGGGTAATCACTGTCTTTCCTGAGAGCAAAATTAAAAAAGACAAGCACAAAAAATGAGGGGGGGTGGGGGGGGAGAAGATGGAGTGATGATGATGGGGAGGCCGAAACTTACAATTAAGACTTCCAATTCTGACGTGTCAGAGCCCCCTGTAGACTTGTGCTCATGCACTTGCAACACTTCCAGCACTGTTTATTTACCATGGCTACCAGTAATTATATTTAACATATCATTTAGTTCAAGGCGTCCCTTCATAGGTTGCTCAGTGTGGACACGGGATTATTGAGATGAGGCAGGCAATGAAAATTGGCAGCTAAGTACTGTTGAATGGTCTATTGAGGAGGGCACCAGAGGAACGTGGATATCACCCAGCACTGGTGTTCATCAACTTCCTAATTAGCTGTCACTGTGGGGAAGGAATTGCCCACAGCAATGGCCTTAATGTTTAATTTTTACCCTGCTTAACCACAATGATTAATTAGTTAAGTGGCACAGCACTCTTTTTCTCCTTTTTAAACAGTTTTGTGTGCCAATGTGATTATAGTTGTAGCTTTAAACATTACATCTCGTGACTGATTTTTTTAATTACAGTGGTTTTGTTCAACTGAGCTTGTCAATTTTTAAAGTTGAACAGTGCATCAAATTCTGTCAAATTCAACTTTTGAACTTGGTTTGGATTCTGAGTCAAAAAATTAACAGTAATAATCACCAGGAAGGTGCGTTCAGGGAACAAGCTGTGAATGTTGGGCTTCTTTTCCAAGCATCGTCCGATAAGGTTAGGAATAATTTCACTTTTATCAAGATTCAAGGTTCGAGGTTCTCTATTGTCAATTGCAGCACATGTGTACATGAGGTGGAATGAAACTGTGCACTCAAGGTCCCAGTTACATCCAACAATAGCAAAAATATAAAGCATAAAAATAAACAGTATACGAGGATCTAAGGTATACACTAAACACTAATAATGTAAAATAATATGTTATATTAAACAGCAGCCCGAACATGAGTCTGTAGCTATCAGCTATCAAATCTTAGTTTCCATTCAAAATGGTCAAACTATAAAACCAGTAGACTTCCGGTAAGATGGCGCCCGTGTACATGGCTTGCAATCCACCTCTGCTGATGGTGTTTGGATTATTTTTGTTTTTTGCATTTCACATCTGTGACATCAACTCTCTGCTGGTGTATGACAGACAACAACTTTTGGATCTTCGTTTTTCTGTCACTGAAGTCGCTTATTTTGACCATTATCAGTGTACCTCTGGACCCCCCCCCCCTCCTCCCCCCCTGCTGGCGGACATGCCAGCTTACCTTCGCTGCGCTCCTCACCTCCCTGCCCGGAGATCTCGCTTCAGACGCCGGGGAAAACGTGCTGGTCAGCTGGTGAAGCTGAAAGCTCTGCACGCTGCATCTTCCTCTTCAGCTGGCGGTCATGGTTTCCAGCTTCCCGTGTGCCCGGACCAGGTACCCAGCGGGAGTTGTCAGCCGGTGCGCAGCCCGGACCGACCTGGAGGGGCTGTTATTGAAAACCTGCAGCCATTAGCGCACGCTAACTCCACCGCTGCTGGCTCTACTTTGGACAATATCTGGATGTGTTTGGTCAACGCAAGATCTGTTACCAACAAAACTTTTATCCTCAGGGACTACTTTCAAGAGCACGATCTGGACTTTATGTGCATCACAGAGACTTGGATGTCTCCGGGTGAGTCCAGCGCCTTGACGGAATTACTGCCACCGAACAGTCTGTGTTTTAACGCCCCGCGGCCATCAGGCCGAGGCGGTGGTGGATTATTAACAATATTCAAATCAACTTTTGACTGTAAACAACTGCCCATCCCAGTTTCCCATGCCAGCTTTGAGCTGAGCGTCTTTGAACTCGGACATTCACCTGCGACGTTATTTGCACTCGTCTACCGTCCACCTCGGTCTAAGGATTTCATAAATTAGTTTTCTGACTTCTTGGCTGAAATCACACCAAAATATGAGCATATTTTCATTATTGGTGACTTTAATTTGTACGTGGGCTGTCCTGAGAAGCCCTTGGTTAAGGACTTTTTAGATTTATTGGACTCATTTAATTTAACTCAGCATGTAAACGGTCCCACCCAAGAGTATGGACATACACTGGACCTTGTTTTAACTCATGATGTGACTGTTAATAATCTTGTTATTGGTGATAATGTTTTTTCAGACCACATGCCAGTCCGGTTTGAATTCACCCTCCCCCGTCTAACTCCCAAGTCGTGCATTCCTGCACGTCGCACTCGGACCGTTAACCACTTCACTGCCGCACGTTTCACAGATGTTTATAACTGTGAAATGATCATTCAGCCCCCAGTGTTTCTCACCACCACTGCGGAGCTGACATCCCAGTTCAACTCTGTCTGCTTAAAGACTCTGGATCATGTTGCACCTAATAAAACCAAAAAATCAAAACTCAGAGCAGAACCTTGGCTGAGTGACGACACCAAGGCCGTTAGGCAGCAATGTAGGAGGGCGGAGCACAAGTGGAGGAAAGACAGGCTGCAGGTCTCTTTTCAAATACTAAAGAGAGTTGGTGCTGTTATCAGAAAACAGTAAAAGCTGCTAAATCAAAATTCTTCTCTGATATAATTACCTCAAACTCTCACAACCCATGTGTCCTCTTCTCCACCCTAAACTCTGTCCTCCACCTCACTGAACCATCACCTCTGGAAGCCTCGACTGAGCTGTGCGACAACATCCTACATTTCTTTGTGGAAAAAATTGCGACCACCAGGGCTCTCATTTCCCCTCCAACTCATGACCCATCCATCCCACCTCAATCTGTAGCTCCTTTTGACCATTTTGAACCCATCACTCTATCTTCTCTAGAGCAGGTCATGTGCAGCTTGAAACCTTCTGGTTCCCCCTTTGATGTGGTCCCCCTCGACTACTAAAGGAGGTTTTTCCTACTCTAGGTCCGTCCATTCTTGCCATAGTAAACAGTAGTTTATCCACTGGCGTGGTGCCAAAATTCTTTAAGCATGCCACTGTCCAGCCTCTCCTGAAAAAAAAACAAACCTTGACCCCTCAGTCGTTTCCAACTTCTGGCCTGTCTCCAAACTCCCATTTGTTTCTAAAGTACTGGAGAAAATAGTCGAGTCCCAGATGAAGTGCTTCCTGGAGGATCACGCCATCTTAGGGCTTTTCCAATCTGGCTTTAAACCTCTCCACAGCACTGAAACTGCCCTGCTGAAGGTCTTTAACGACATCTTCAGATTCACAGATACCGGTGATTCTGTGCTGCTTGTCCTGTTGGACCTCACAGCCGCCTTTGACACCATCGACCATGAGATCCTCATTGCTAGGTTGGAGCAGTGGGTGGGCGTCACAGGATCAGCCCTCAATTGGTTCAGATCTTACCTCACTG